GGGAATTGAGTCGTCTTTGACGCCACTGGTGTTGCTCCGTGTGATAATGCTGTTTCATTTGTCACGCTCAAAAACCTGTCATATAAATACAAGCATTTCCGGCCTTTGTCGTTTATTGCACGCGAAAGTAGTGGAAATAAATAACATTAACTGTCGCCCTTTCCAACAACCAAAGTCAGATAACCACGTAACGTCCAACTTCAACTTCACAGCAAAGGAGCTCAAACATTTAAACACCAGGTAAACGAATTCACTCCTAAATCAAAACTTGAAAAAGGGTCGCTATAGCGATCAGACAGCGGAAATACACACTACGCAGAATATGACTCAGGCTCAGCAAAGTTCGCCATGGTGGAGGTTGCATGGAGAGGGGACGCATTTGGCCGCATCACATTATCTCAGAATCAAAGGAAGCTGGAAAGACGCCGAACAGGCATTATATAGCTCGCTATAAGCAGACATGTGCATGGATCCGGGAAAATGGATCTGAAATTCGATCCCATGAATCTAGATCTGGGATCCACCCGGATCATAGATCCAACCCCTCAACTTTGTCGAGAGATCCACTCAGATCATAGATCCAACCCCTCAACTGTGTCGAGAGATCCACTCAGATCATAGATCTTACCCATAAGCTCGAGAGATCCGCTCAGATCATAGATCCACCTCTCGGATCCATGCACATGTCTGGCTATAAGATCGTTTTGAATCATTCTGGTCATTTTTTATCAAATATGTGTGAAAAACGTCCCCCCTCCCCCACCCGTGCGAAGGTTATCACCTGCTTTTAATCGGACTGCGCCCTTTTCAAGACTGTAAGAATCTCCAGTCTCGCATCCGCTTTCTTGTCGTCCCTCACACGCTCCATCTCCAACCCCACCAGCTGACCAAATAGTAGGTCCGGGTTACGGAGGTCGCTCACCGCGCGTTCTATGGACGCTATGGCGGCGTCAAGCTTCTCGGCGCCACGAGCACCCGGCCCCCTGACCTGCTTGACTTGGCCGTTGGTGCCAGAAGAGCGCGGATGGCTCGGGCCGGCGACACAGCTCGCTGCTGGTGGCACCGCGGACACCCGAGGCGTTCCGAGGAGCGTCGCAGCTGGGAGGACTCCTGAACTGACTGCACAGCTCGCTGCTGGTGGCACCGCGGACATCCGAGGCCCTCCGAGGAGCGTCGCAACTGGGAGGACTCCTGAGGCACAGCTCGCTGCTGGTGGCAACCAGGACACCACAGTTAGATCATCGTGGCTTACAGACGAGCAGTTAAAATACACGCCGTCCTAGGCTCAGATCGATGTATGACTGGCTTACAGGCACTGATAGACACTAGAGTCCTCGTTTGTTACGTTGTTGTCAAATGACGAGGTTATGCTTTTCGGAGTCCTAATGACGAATTTCATGTAAGTTTTGATTTAAGATTATGTCTTTATGCGTTTGGGGTAGGTCAAGTCAGGTCAGTTTAACCAGATGGCGCCATGTCGGCTATCCGTAGTTACAGGTGTCAACCACCAGTGGCAGTTTCGTATTATGCTATGATGGCTGCATACCATTTGAACAAACTCACCAGCACTGTCGTCTGGTAGTTGAGTCTCGCTGCTGTCCTCATCAGACACACAAAGCTGAAACACATGATGATTACGTGAGTGAAGATTGATGCGAGATATTTGATAGGTCACCAAAAATGGTTAGAAAATGAAATTCGGCCAATTGCAAGGTTCGTTTGGATGTTGACTACGACCGAATTCTTCCGAATTTAACATTTTTGAAAAACGCCCCGAAAATCACGATTAAACAGCCGCAATAACACTAATTAGCATTGGATCTCTTTTGACCCCTGTACTTAACCTTCGCCCGAGTGCCCGTGTTTTGGCCACACTTGCCAGTTTTGTTTGCGCGCTTCAAGAAAACCGCGGCGCGCAGCGCCGCGAAACATGGTATAGCATATGATACATCAATTTCGCATCGTTTTTGAAAATTTTGACCCCAGGTCACGTAAGTTCCTTTTCAAATCTTAGTGATTAATCTGCGCCCTGCTGCTGGTTTTTTGCGAGTATATCAAAAACGTATCTCGGTTACTTTTATAAAACTTACAAAAACCTTTATTTGGGAGCTGAATTCCAATCAGGAATACATTTGGGCATTTCGAATTTCGACCGGCTTTGAAAACTGGTCCAGTAGTCTCGTAAATAACAGGGCAGAGACCCTCTTACTAGCTCCTCTACAGGGCGGAGTCTGGGAATAACAATGGGCCTGAGGAGGCGATTGTTAAGGTGCATGATGACCAAAAGGTTTTAAATGAAACTTGGCAACACTGTTCGTTAAAAACAAATGAACAAACAAACAAGAAAAAAACAATCAATGTAAACAGCTAGAACAGGCCTGTTGCATGTCACGGCATTGCTTTATTAATTTCCAACGAAATCACTGCATTGAAAGGAGTCATGAAACGCCCAAGATCGGATATGGATCATCATTTAGAGTGACCCAGAAATCACTTTACACACCTCATTGGAGTATTGGTTTGTGTAGTAGAATAAGGATTGCGATCCTGTTCCAGGCTGCGTCAAGTTTGTCGTTACCCTGCATAGGAAAGGAAGGAACGTAGCATTTGATACATGACAGGAATACAACAGGTTTTCTAATGGAAAAGTGATATGGACTGGGAGGGGTAAAAAAAAACTCAGAAGTCAGCACAGCAACTAATTAATACGACAGTGAAGCTTATTGCTTATGCTTATTGCTCCAGTAATGGAGCACTACTGGGCAATGTGCAAGATCTGTGCTACTGGAATACAACATTTTTGAAAAAAGACTTTTCATCTCTATGTCCTAATGCAAAGATCCAGGACGTGCACTAAAATCCAGGACATACATCCTACTGCAGTTAACTTACGGTTTAGGCTTGATGGCATCATCCAAAAATGACATTTCCTTTTGCCAGGAGGAGTTCTCTGGTGGCGGGCAGCCAGAGCCACTTGGCAATTGCCTGCGTTTGCGTAGGTGGTAGTCACGCAGACTTTTCCATTTCGATTTTGCATCCTGAACTGAAAAGCAGGGAATAAAATTGGTGAGAGCCTTGAAAATTTATTTTGTCAAGCGACATGTGTTTGTTACCTGAGAGACATCACAATTATACAAGCACCACGGATGTGTAAGGGTTCGCATTTTAAAGCTTAGAACCCAATTCTAAAAACGTGGCAGAGCCTGTGGCTGTTGGCACCATTTACAACACGTACAAGCAAAATATGATGCGTAAGTTTTACCTGATCTCCCAGTGGTCTTTGCCACCTCCTCCCATGCTAGCTTCTTCTTATTTCTGTTAAAGTAGTTGCTGTCCTGAGGACGCCAGAGCACGTCATGACGTCTCACGGCTTCAACTAAGGTGGTGTCACTTGTAGAGCTGAAAAATGGGATTGATCATGTCACATTGCTAACAGAGGCCCCTGTACATCCGCGATACACTGCCTGAATCAGGGAACATCAAACAGACCGATTGCAGAAAGCTCGGGAGTATTATGGTACATAGCAGGATACAGGGCTGAGGGCAGGACACAGAAGGCACAAGGCAGACACTGAACTCAGACTGAAAAAAATTCATGGTATCATCGACATGTCTGGCGTAACGGGCGGATTGAGCTGAAATTTCGGTGCAGTATCCAGCGTAACTCTGTGCGCCCAAAAATTCTGCCATACGGATGGACAAAGAAATTTTGGCACAAGACACAAGACCTAGGTAACCTTGGCTAACTTCACTCCCTACGCTTTTGAATCATAAACCATGTCGATGATGGGTGTTCATCCAAATGTTCATCCAAAGCCACACAATATCGGCTCATGAAAGCCCGAGACATTCGGCACAGTGTATGGATTTTTTTCAGTCTGGCACAAAACAGGACAATGAAGGTACACCAGGCACAAATATAAAAAACGGCAGTCGTAAAGCAGGCATCACACTTGTTTTTTTTCATTTTGCAACCAAGGAGAGGCGCCGTACCCAGAGATGCTTCCTTATCAAACCAAACCAAACCTAACCAAACCTGACCTAACCTTACCTACGATCTACAACCTAACCTAGAGCGACACTCCTTGGTTGCAAAAAACAAGTGTAACATCTGCTTTACTATTACCAAAAAAAAAAAAAACTACAACCCTGAAACCAAGCTACATCCTAACCAAAATTATGGAAAACACCTGTCCCTAAAAAAACTTTGCTATGGTTTTGGGAATGAGGGTTCATTTCAACCAAAAATGCACAGATTTGCATGGCTTACATTTAATCGTGTAGCAAAAAATGGTCATTTTGTAGCATGTGCAGCAGTTTGAGTTGCTGCGTTGCGGAAACAAAGTTACTTAAGGATCTAGACTCCCGCTTCCCCCTGCACCAGTACCCTTATATGAAACAAACTTCAAAAGGAGATGGAAAATGCTAGCTACATATATGCAGCATTCAAAATATCTTGATCTCACTTTAGAAAAAGTAGGTAGGTCAAGCATCCACAAAACCAAACATATTAAACATATCAGGCTTGAAATGCCTTATAAACATATATTTTCAAGGAAGAAAAACTATTATCACGAAACTCACCTAATATATGGCAAAGTTTTATTTGTAATTAATGCATATTTATGCTTAGGAAAAGAGGAAGATTGGATTTCATTGCACCTGACCTACCTTACCAGCTCATTTAATGCTATTCTGGAGATGTAGGAAGATGATGAAACACAGAACACACACACTGCCACACTCAAAATATTAGCAACACTAACGTTGTTGTTGTTGTGGGTTAGGGCGCGTAGCAACTTGGCTCTTGCGTCCAACTAGCAACACTAACCTCATCTCAAAAATGCTTTTCAAATGTTTTAAATATCAACAAAACACCCGATTGATGATAAAAACGCCGCGGCGTATGCGCGTCAAGGACGCGCTGAAAAGTTGGAATATTTCATCTCGTGAGCGTCGAATACGCGAGTAATTCAGCGCCGACCAGCCGATGAATAATCAGCTGACAACGCTTCATCGTGCTTTAGGCGCTGAAACGGCATTCGGCGCGCAACCCATAGACTCCAATGTTAAATTCAGCGCGTAAATGTGCGCGCCTAACCAGTGGACGGCGGCCTAAAGGTGAATATACCTAAATGCTGCAAGCTTTTGACATGGGAATGCCTTTATAGCTGCAGTGTTGGATGTCAGCTTCCTTTGGCTTATCATTATCGTTATATAACCAAATTTGAATTCTTAGCCCAGTATAACAATGATATTTATGCTGGCTCCGCTTTGCATATGCTTATTCTTAGGCTTATGCTTATGGTTATGCTGCTAAAACATGCTTTAGTTGACCAAGTTTTAAGTTTATTTGTAGTCCCAGTTGCATTACAATTGCAAGTCCAGAAATGTGCCTTTCATTTCAGATGTCTTCCAGCAAAGCTTTGGGGCTCTTGGGCCAGATTGTTCTGAGACAAAAGGCTGGCGTGGCCCCTGTGTCCAGCATATGGTCAACAATGTGCAAGCGCCATCAGAGCAACAAGCCAGGTATCTACAGTTCACCAATAAGTTAAATCTCATGAGCCTTGTATATTGAACTGACCTTGTGCTGAATGTGTGTCACTTTGGATTGTGATGAGTTAAATGCTGTATAAGCTGTGTGTTACTGTTTTCTTTGTCTCATTTTAGCTGAGAAGGTAGTGGAGAAGGCACCCACTCAGTGGGCTAAGTTTGACTGGAGTGATGCACTGAACCTGGAGAGCCAGCTGACAGAGGAAGAGATCATGGTCCGGGACACATTCAAACAGTACTGCCAGGAGAAGCTGATGTCCAGAATCATCATGGCCAACAGGAATGAAGGTTAAGACTTTTCCACCTCTTCTTGGTCACGCCTGGGGTGTTAGCTGGCCCTAAGCAGACCATTGCACTTGCTTGTTTTATGTGATTTCCCATTAGAAATTTCCTGACTTCCTGAAGTGACCAATCTAGTGAATTGAGTACCAAATGTTTTTGTTGCTTTCTATTGGATATCCATGTTCTCTTGTGTGTCATCAAATCTCTGTTGGAGTGTGTCAATAACAGTGCTTATCCCACAGTGTTTGACCGGGACATCATGACCGAGATGGGCGAGCTGGGGGTGCTGGGCCCCACGATCCACGGCTACGGCTGCCCGGGCGTGTCGTCTGTGGCGTACGGACTCATTGCCAGGGAGGTGGAACGAGTCGACAGCGCTTACAGGTTAGTTATAGCCGAGCAGACACGACTAAATTGGGGTGATGCGTGATTGAATCATGTGGCTGAGCTCTGTTTATCGATAAATGACGGAGTACGGGGCCTAACGAGGGATGTGTGTTGTTGGCTGGCCACCGGCCGGTGGCTTACAACGCTAAATTTGTTGAATGGCGTGCGATCGGTCCGATTGGTTCGGTGTTGTGCCATGATGATTGATGATCACAGGGTTATTACTCATCTGTGACGTTTTTTACAGGTCGGCGATGAGCGTCCAGTCTTCCCTGGTTATGTACCCCATCTACGACTACGGAACGGAAGAGCAGCGGGAGAGGTTCCTCCCCAGGCTCGGTAAGGATTTCATACTGGGTAGGTTGTCGTTGATGAGTTTCTTTTAGGGATTATCCGGTGTGGAAATAGAACGGGAGACGATAGTTGAGTTGGACGATGGTTAGTGTGAGTTAATAGCCCACATAAGGTATTATTGAAAATGCAAATAATAGATACCTGATACCACTGTGGTAAATTACAATTTTCGATTTTTATCGTTATCGCACTTTGGTCTCGCCACTAACTTCCACAGCTACTATGCATTCACGTCGTATAATTTGAGTATTTTCAGTATAATATTTCGCTCGTCTCCGCTGTTTGCCACCGCCACCGTTCGCCTACATCCCGTGCACTAACCGCATCTTTTCGCTCCGTTACAGCGCGCGGTGAGCTGGTGGGCTGTTTCGGTCTCACGGAGCCCAACCATGGCTCTGACCCGGCTGGGATGGAGACCAGGGCCAAATACAACGCGGCGGACGGCACATACCTGCTCAACGGATCGAAAACTTGGTAAGATGCACAGTGCACACATCGGAATGGTAGAGCGATTTATCGATGTGATTGATCATTATGCATGCACAGATACGTGCTATCAGAATGGAATAGAGAAAAGTGTAATGGAAGCGCCGATTTGTGGCAGTTTGACATGCATGACTCTTTAAATGCTTATGTCAAATGGTAAGTTTCACTATCGTAAAGAAAGGATAAAAATCTGACTTAAAATTGATCTTTGTCGACATTTTAGCGTTCTATTTGAATGTTTCATGCCATTGGCTCGCCATACCCTCTATGCTGACCATTTCGAATCGGTTCTCTCCACCTTTACAAGTGACTATCTCTACTGCGCACTTTTACCCCAAACTTACCCCATCCCATTCCCCCGACAGGATCACCAACTCCCCGATCGCCGATATTGCCGTCGTATGGGCCAAATGCGACGACAATCGCATCCGCGGCTTCATCGTCGAGCGTGGCATGCCCGGCTTCAACACGCCCAAGATCGAGGGGAAATTCTCTCTGCGGGCCTCCACCACCGGCATGATCGTGCTGGATGACGTCGTGGTACCGGAGGCCAACCTGCTGCCCAACGTTCACGGACTAAAGGTGGGGAGAGGATGAGACGGGGATTGGAGGGTGGAGGAGGCTGTGACGATATGTGGGAGCTGACTGTGTTGGAGGAGGGGGGGGGGATGACGAATTTGCATAGATCGGGTAAAAGAACTGGACCTATTATGCGAGATAGTGGTTGATGGAATGAATGGAATACTTGTTGCTAACATCATGAGCTGAGTATGAATCAAATTCCGTCCTCCGCTTTGACCTTTCCTCTCTCTTCTGCTCCTCAGGGTCCGTTCGGATGTCTGAACAACGCCCGGTACGGTATCGCGTGGGGCGCGCTGGGCGCCGCCGAGGCGTGTCTGCACACGGCCCGTCAGTACACCCTGGACCGTCAGCAGTTTGGCCGGCCGCTGGCCAACACGCAGCTCATTCAGAAGAAGATGGCCGACGCGCTCACAGAGATCAACGTGGGCCTGATGGCGTGCCTGCAGGTCGGACGGCTCAAGGACCAGGGATTGTGAGTAAAAGAGGCGAGGGAGGGGTTTGATTGGATGTGAGGGGATAGGAGGGACAAGGGCGCCAAAGAATCATTCCGGGAGGGCGATGGACTGCCCTCACATCGAGAAGGCATTATCACGCTAATTCCCAAGAAAGGGAAGTCCCCACATTCATATAAAGGTTGGAGGCCGATTACTTTACTAAACGCTGATTACAAGATTTTATCTACCGCTATTTCAAACAGATTAAAGAAAGTAATGAGTAAACTCATCGATCCCGCGCAGACTGCCTACACCTCTGGTCGCTACATCGGTGAAAATACTAGGCTTGTTTACGACCTTATACACTGGACTAAGAAAAACAAAAAAATGGGAATCATATTAGCAGCTGATTTTGAAGGAGCATTTGAATCAGTTGCCTGGAACTATTTAAGACTAGTCATTAAAGAATTCAAATTCGGTCCTAATATGAGGAATATGATCGACCATCTATATTTAAATAACAAAAACCACTCTCGGATTCTTTTAAATGGACATTTAGGCAAAAAAATTAATTTGGAGAGGGGAATCAGGCAAGGGGACCCGGCATCAGGGTATCTTTTCAATTTGGCAGTTTCAATTCTGACCGAACAAATCAACAAGTCAAGTACACTGACTGGAATAAGAGTAAATAATGAAAACGAAATAAGAATAAGTCAGTATGCTGACGACACAATTATGTTTCTGGACGGCTCTAAAAGATCTGTTACAGGGGCGATCGAAGAACTTAGGAATTTTGGTATACGATCGGGTCTTAAAATAAACATTGAAAAAACATCCTGTATGGCAATAGGGAGTTCAATAGATGAGGAAATAAGAACAGAATTAAATATCAGTTTTGTAAGTCAACTTACTATTCTAGGAATTCAGATAGACCGGGATTTGACCAATATAACAGATAATAACATACAACTAAAAATACCCATGATAAAAAAGGAGCTCGCGCAATGGAACCGTCGCAGTCTTACACCCATCGGTAGAATAAGCGTCGTTAAAGCTCTGCTCCTTTCCAAACTTGTACATATATTTATGTCACTCCCAAACCCATCAGTTCCTTGCACGAAAGAGATCGAAAGACTCCTATTCAGTTTCGTGTGGGGTAACAAAAATGATAAAGTTAAACGAACGAAACTTGTACAACGATACGGAAAAGACGATTTAAATATGGTACAAGTAGACTCCTTCATTAAAAGTATGAAGCTGTCATGGTTAAAACGTATTTACACCTCTAACACAGTCTGGACTGAACTTACAGCACAAGAGCTTCCAGACGCGTGGCGGATATTAACATACGGTGTGAAAAAGTTACGCATAGTAATAAGCAAAACAACCAACGCATTTTATGTTGACGTCGTAGACGCTCTGACACAATTTAATCAAGAATACAAACCCTCCGATAGTGAAATACTCACAGAAAACATATGGTTTTCTGACTGGACTAAATACAGAACGACAATTGTTAAGAGTTGGGATGACAAGGGACTAAGGCATATATGCGACTTATACAATGCAGATACTGGGAAAATTTACACAAAGGAAGAACTGGAAACAGTCTACAGGATACAAATGACGTTTTTATGCTACGCAACCTTAGTACGCAGCATTCCGCAAAAACTGCAAAAACAGGTCGACAAGTCCCTCCTTAGTAAGCCAATTATCCCGTATAAGATTGAAATGGTACAAAGCCGTAAAAACTTTTCAAAAATCGCGTACAACACATTCGTTGAAAATAAAGCGGACACAAATAGTAGCTCAAATGCACGTCTTCAGACGAAATGGATAATCGATATTGGCGAATATACGAAGGGAACCGTTCAGAGAGTTAAAGAAGCAACAATGTCCACGTTTCTTCTTTATCTCCATTTTCGGGTTATCAATAGAATTTATGCTACAAATAAATACTTGGCGAATATTCATGTACGTCAAAGCAGTACCTGTACCTTCTGTGAAAGTGCAACAGAAACGATCTTCCATCTGTTTTGGCAGTGTCCTACAACACAAATATTCATTAAGGAAATACTGTCACATATAAGAACACAATATCACACCATCATAAATATCAACTGTATAAATTGGTTCATGCTATCAGATCTCACTAACATAGAAGTGGTTATAGTAACGCTCAGTAAATCTTGTATACACAAAGCACGTCTTAAATCAGCTAAGCCCTCGGTGGAGGTAATGCTGCAAACACTTAAATTTGAAGCGATAAAAGAATACAATATTGCGAAGTCACATAGGAAAATTGATGCTTTTAAACGGAAATGGGGCGAGCTTGCAAAAATACTTGAGTAAATGCTTGAAGACAATGGTGATATTTGTCACGGAGGGTGGTGGGTGGGCCTGCGCCGCTCCGGGTGTCAGACCACGATACACACAGCCGCAAATAAGCCCTGCACATGGATGGAACTGCGCAATGCATATATTCTTGGCAAGCAAGCACGCACACTCACACCCACACACCTACACACACACAGACACACCCCCCACCCACACCCACATACACCCACACACACCTACACACACTCACACACACCCACACACCTACTATCACACCCATACACATACTCTCACACGTTCACTCATGAGAAACGCCTGTCTTGTATGGCGAGCCCGCCCGCCCCTAACCCAACCCGGCTAACCGGAGGCCGGCTCTATAAAGGGTCGGCCGGCCGGCCGGGCGCGCGGCTCGCCACCCTATCACGGTGACGGGTCGCGGGCCCGGCCGGCGGCCTGGGGCATCGCCCCATCGGCGTCGGATAGGCGTGTAATTCGCGGGGCGATGCGGGGCGGGACGGGATCCCTCGGTGCTCCCACCAGATGTTTGAACCTTTGTTGCGCTAGCACTGTACAGGGTGTCCCGAAATTGATGTCCTCTCCCATTGCGTGCAATAACATCAATACAAAAAATGACCGGTTCATGATTTATTTGTTGATGTATCCACCACGCTTCCGCACACATGCCCGCATGCGCTCCGGCATGCCACACATCAGGTTGTCGAGAGTTTCTCCAGAAATGCTGCTCCAGGCCGATCGGAGGTTCCTGATGAGTGCAGTTTCGGACGACGCTGGTGCCATCTTGTCCATCCTGTCCTGGACGATTGACCACAGGTTCTCGATTGGCGACAGGTCCGGGCTGTTACCTGGCCATTCTCCTTTAGCCCAGAAGCCAGGGAAGTTGGCCCGGCACCACTCCTGGGTCTTGGTGGCGTTGTGAGCCGGGGCACCGTCCTGTTGGAAAATGGCCTGTGACATGTCCGGCAGAAGTTTGATGGCCGTTGGTGGTCCGTTCTCCTTCCGTCGTCTCATCGCTGATGCCGTCGTTCCCTTCATCACCTCCTCTACGTAGAAGTCCCCGGTCACGGTTTGGCCGCGGGGCACGATGTGAAGGTCTGACAGGCCACGGAAACTCATCATGCCCCACACCAGGACCTTGCCCGGCTGCTTGACGGTCTCGATGACAGGCACTTCTGAGCTGTTCTGAGCCCAAACACGGTCGTTCTGGCGGTTGGGAGGATGAAACAGCTCAAAAGGAGACTCGTCGCTGAACAGGACCCGCCTCTGCAGTCCTGTATGGACCAGTTGATCCGACTTTTAGCGAAGTCCAGCCGTTTTCGTCGTTGTGCTGCCGTCAGCTTGGGCTCCACGCGCGGTTTCAGCGGCTTCAGACGGAGGCACTGCCGCAGATACCGGTGGACAGCTGACTTGGAGGCCGGATGATTTTTTGCACTGAGTTTCCGCGCCAGTTTCCGTGTCGACTGGTGCCGTTTCGTAACGGATTTCGCCACCACGATTTTGGCCATCCGGCTCATCGCTGTCTTCCGCCCTCTTCCCCCGTGGTTCTCCAGTGCCTCTCCCTTGCGGTCGAGGGCCATCCAGCGTCTGAGGGTCCTGAGCTCTATCCTTAGCTCCTTGGCTACCTGTACCTGGGGCGTGCCGCCGTTGACCATGCCGACAGCGCGATAGCGAGTCGACAAAGGGTACTCCTTCGCCATGGCTGATATGCAGTCCGCGCGCCTCGCGACCCTCTCGGTAAATGACCTCTGCCGCCCCGCCGGGTCCTGGGTCGGCTCACCTGGCTAGGTCACGTGACCAACAAACACGTGACCGTGCCCCAGGGTCGGGTCTCGGTAAAGCGCCATTGGTATACCGGTATTGCTCTGAGGAAACGTAACGAACGGGAGAGGACATCAATTTCGGGACACCCTGTACATGAGTGACAGGATGATACATGAATGAATTATGTGTGTGTAATGCGCAATGCCTACACTAGCACAGTACATGAGTGACAAGAAGACACATCAGTGAATTATGTGTATGTAATACGCATGCCTATTACATGAATGACAGGATGGTACATGAATAAGTTGTATGTATTTATTGCGCATGCCTATACATGAACGAAATAAACGTGAAAAAAAAGGAGGGACAAGGGAGTGAGGGATAGGGGTCGGAGGGTAGGGGGGTTGGACGACTGCCCAGGACGGCTTTGTTTGTTCTTATTGTTGGTTGCGTAGAAAAACGGCGGAGTTACAGAGTGAAAACACTAAACCTTGCGTTAAGACTTTTCGATAAACATCAACCATGGATCCGTATCGCAGCGATCCCCTGAATCTGCAATCTCTTCTCTGCAGTCTGAGGGTGTGTCCTCACGTCACAGCCCAGCCCACGCGACCCAGACCGCCCGCCGGACCGTAGTATTTATAGGAGGCGAGCCCCCGGCCCGGGCAGTCCGCCAGGGATGTCTTCCCTCCCCTCCCCGGCGTCCCATGACTGACCGCAGGCCATGACCTTCGGGCCGACGACGCAGTTTTTATGCCGGAGAACAGACTCACAAAAAGTAGGATATGTGACTGAGGCATATGGCAGGACTATAGCGCCGCTGAGTGTTACGTAAGACGTCACGCGTTTGTTATGTAATGTAGTGAAAACGAAATTATGTTACGCAACACACGGATTAGCTCTACTCTACAGTCTACACTGTACAGTCAACTGCCCCTCATATTATCAACTTGTTACGATATTTTGAGATATCCCAAAACCAGGCCAAAAACTGTATTTTTATTTCTTGAATCGATCTGGCTATGCTCATTACTGTGAAACCCACTCTCTCCTTATCTCTCACCCACCCAACGTTCACTCCAACCCACTCTTGTTCGTGCCACAGGGCTGCTCCCGAGATGATATCGCTCATCAAGCGCAACTCGTGCGGAAAGGCGCTGGACATTGCCCGACAGTGCCGCGACATGCTGGGCGGCAACGGCATCAGCGACGAGTACCACATCATCAGACACTGCATGAACCTCGAGGCCGTCAACACCTACGAAGGTGAGGATCTAAGAAGGGCTCGATCCTATGCTTTGTTTGTGTTCTGCGATATGAGATGTCTGTGAGAACTGCGTGTCTCGAATTTGAAGAATGTCAGAGTCGGAAGTGTGTGATATTTAGCAACTGATAATTGTAGTGAATGTTCGAAGTCGGCAGTGTACAGTTGCAACGTAAGAAATTTGTCGTTAGCGGTTTATCGTCGATGTCTCATTAACTTTCTGAACATTGACAACTATCCCAGCCAGCTTACGCATAGTTTTATTTTACCAAGAACACTGCACAATCATCACAAGAGCGACTGCTGTGGGCAGTCGGGAAGCCGGCGGCGGCGTCTGTGGACACTAGACGGTCGCCGCCGGCCAACACAGCAGAGAATATACCGGAATTCCCCACCAAGGCGAGCCCCACCGTCACTGGTATGTGACCGCCGCCTCTGATCGTCCCGCTCCTCCCCGCAGGCACGCACGACATCCACGCGCTGATCTTGGGCCGCGCCATCACTGGACTGCAGGCCTTCACTGGCTGAGACCATGACGAGGCCGCCCGGACTGATGGAGCTCCGCCGGCTGGGCGGAGTCAGAGTCTTCCATCGCAGGCGGTTAGACGGCTGGTCTGTGGCAGTGCCGCCGAGGACTGAATGTGATTGACGCGCGCGAGCGCAGCCACGCGCGACAGGTGCTATATTGGGTCACGCGCGGGAAGCCACCGTGCTGGAACCTTGGGGTAGCTTGGTTTGAAGGCAGGCACACGAACCGATCGTGACTTAAGTTGCTGATGACCCGACGTGATTGCCCTGAATGTAGGCTTTCTAGTCCGTGTGCGAAATGTATTTTACCATCATAACTCGGCGTATTTGTGTAAACCCCTCTGCGGCGGGCAGTCGTCTCAGATCCTGGCCCCACATCACGGTAGTTCGTTTTCTGTATCAGTCTGTTACGGGACGTCTCGCCGAGTCCAGCGGTAGCTCGAGCCGACCGGACCGGGCCCGGTTACACCCGAGTCGTCCTGAGCGTGGCGCGCGGCTGTGGGTCGATCACTGGGCCCTCTGTAGGATGGCGGCGTTCAGCAGCGCGCCGTCCTTCACTGTGACGCTGTCGTCTGTCAGCTCCTTGCTGGGGAAGGTGGTGAGAAGCGCAAACGGCCGCGTGGCCAAGTGGGGGCGCGCACTGATACAGAGAGTTAAGGACTGTAACGACTCACGGGGGTTTCAGCGGCAGGGGTGCATACGGGCGCATTGTCTCAAGGAGGGTGTTTATTGTAAGGGGAAAATCTCACGAGGTGCATGCTTGTAATTGTGAGGCTTTCGTAGATTGGACAATATCTGAGTAAATTGCGATGAAGGTGTTATAGAATATTAAGGGCACTTCGATACGCTGTTGTAGTGTATACGTGAACTGCTGCCTTATTAGGATCTAAGACAGGGACGACCGACAAGACAGGTCGGAGTCGACTTGTGCAATAGAAATGTATAATTTTCTAGTGAGTACTGAATAAACACGGCGAGTTTTCTCCCGTAAACAAAATATACTTCTTTGGCTCATTTGCGCGATTATTGAAAGTTGTTCCCTCTTTTTCCCCGTTAATGGTTAAAAGAAATGCAAAGTTGATCTGTAATGAGTAAAAAGAGCTGCCGTTTAAAACGAGTCAACAATGAAGCAATCCCTCCATTCCCCTCGACCGCCTCTCTGCCCCTGTCCGCGGCGTCACCAAAGGATACGTGGCGATGTACTGGCGCAGGTCTCCGATGGTGTGCGTCAGGTTCAGTTTCACCACCAGCCGGGAGCCGTCCGTCAGCCGCACCTGCACGCTGGTCGTCGGCTGCGACTCGTCGAGCGCCAGCGCGGCGCGCGCGGCCGCCTCGCTGGCGGCCGGGTCGCCGGCAGAGGCGGCGGCGGCCGGGGCCGAGGAGGCCGCTCCGGCGCCCACCACGGCCGGTGCCGGGCTGAAGAATCGCCACAGCACATCCATCAGGCTGAACAGGAGACCGAGAGCGGCCGACAGGGCGGCCGAGAGAGACCAGTGGCCACCGTCGGCGGCCGCGCCCCCGCCCCCGCCCGCGCCGGCCGCCGACGGGCTGAAACATGACGCAGTGCGGCAGCGGCAGACGGCGCCGACCCCACGCACACACATAAAGACAGATACAGAGACAGAGATAGGCAGGCGTCACTAGCGGGATGGAAAGGACATGGTGACGCAGGCGTTTCATATGGCAGGTTAGTTAAAGCATCGTGAAAGACTGATTCGAAGAGACAGAACGGACATGGGCATTTGGCTTGATAAAATGCGTGCGATTGACGAGAACTGCCCATAGTTAGCTGGTGAGTAGGCACAGTATGAGTAAGATGTATAAGACATCTCTCATGAACCACAAAACGAAGCATTTCAAGTTCATGGAATAAAATGAATCAGGACGAAAATCTGACAAGAGCAAACACATCTTTACTAAGGTTTAGAGAGAAAATAGGTCAAACAGGCCAGCATCAAGCAAAACTAATGGCATGCCAAAGTAAAGGAAAGTCACTTCGTAAATGGGCATTGGATTAGACGGCGCCAAAATGTTGATTGATGTACACCAAAAAATTATACTCCAATAAAAAAACTCGACCACACCAGCACCAAGATCCGTAAGACACTGTCACACTGGAAGTGCGCCCACCGTCGAAAGCGGGCATCGCATAGAAATAAAGACAAGGGGCATCGCCCCTCCCTGGCGACATCTATAGCCGCGGCAGTGCTATGAGCGAATTTTCATCGTGACATGCTCATTCGCCAGCGACTTCCGATGTCAGACTCGAGCATCGCATGCCGCATTCTAGCGATTGAACGATAGTTTCTCGTGCAGAAACGTTACTCCGGCATTTGCACAAAGCAGCAACTCATGCGTTATGCGTTTACATCAAAATTACCAGCATGCAGCCCAAGAAAATTGAGAAAATGCAGAGGACGTGGGATGAAAATGACTACAAATGTAAACAGCACTTCAACAGGAGAAACACACACACAAAAACTGCACCTATCAGCTGAAACAGTTAAACATAAAAACCCCACCGCCTCCGTCTATCTCGGAGGTCACTGACCTGCCCAGCACGTGTCCGACGCCGGAGAAGGGTTTCGGCTTGGCCTTGGGTTTCACGTAGTCCTCATGCCGGTGGTCCTCCATGTCCAGGTGAACCTCGCCACCCTGTGCGTCCCGAATCAGCTCCAGGGGCACTTGGCTGCAGAGAGTGAACGGAAAGGGGTCAGCTTATGCCGACCATAAGTCACAACAGTTGTTCACAACCGATACGAAATTTGCTACCCCTCCCGGACTGGACATCAACTCTGAACAGCAACTCACCCCTCTCGGACCGAGTTGAGGAACTCCTGGTTGGCCGGGTCCGAGTACTCGCGCAGCTCTCCGTCATCCACGCTGAAGCCGGTGCGCCAGAGCCGCAGTTTGACGGTGCGCGGCTGCGGTGGCCGGTTGTCGGGCGCGCCGGGTACCACCTCCGAGTCTGAGCCCGTCTGGCCGAGCCGGTACCCGGTGCCGCCGAACACGCGCCGCCGCGGCTGCGGCGCCTCCTCGGACGGGTCCACCTCCTCGGCGCCGTGACTGGGGTCAGAGACGGCGGCCGGTCAGGTCAGAGACGGCGGCCGGTCAGGTCAGAGACGGCGGCCGGTGGGGTCAGAGACGGCGGCCGGTCAGGTCAGAGACGGATGAGGTCAAAGGTTGGCGGGGGTGTCCAACCCGTGACTGACATTGCCGGGCATTACTGGATAAAAATCGTGTTTATTCACAAAACGGCCGTGACTGACCGACACAGCCGAATGAGGTCAGAGATCAGCGGGGATGTTTGATGAAAATAATGTCTACTGAGAATATTCCTTTGTAGCTTATGGAACTCAAAACAGTTACCGCACCAAATCAATGCAAAACCGTCTGTTGAATCATGAATGAGATATCCACAGGCTAGTCCAGTGGCATATTCACTACACACAACTACATGAACCAACAAGTAACAACTTTGCCACTGCTGCGCGCCCAGCGTAACACCTCACCCTTTGGCAGCCTGGAACATCTCTTTGACAATATCCTCGCCCTTCTTTTTGCCTCGTTTGGGACCGAGGATCTGTTGTCCACTGGTCTCTGAGCCGCCGGCGAAGAACGCCTGTCCCTCCTCGTCCGAGTCCGAGTCCGAACCCATGAGACCCTGGAAAGTCCGGATTGTGGTCCTGGGGAGGGAGGGGGGGGGGGCTGTTAGCAAGAGCACACACCGACGGATTGGCAAGATAGACGTCGATTGACGCGAGAGAGACGAGAGACACAAGGACACAGGAAGCAGCCATGTTACAAGCCATGCAATGAAACTATTGGTAGAGGAAACTTGATCAAATAGGTTCGCATGAAATCGCTCCTATAAGTGTGTTTCTTGACGGTACGAGTAAGAGAGTTTGGTGTTCGATTTGCCAGCGAGGTCAGCACAAAGTCGAGTCAGCAATCACTGCAAGAGCCCGATATTCCGACCCGGGTCTCCATCAGTATTCCATTTACACGATATACTGTCAGGGGTCAGACTTCGCACCAACCGCTGCAGTACCCAGCACGCCCTCACCTCGTTACCCAGCACTCTGCACAACAGTCAGCCCACCACTCATCCCGCTGCAGTTTCGTACTCACCCGGCCTGTCGCTGCGAGCGGCGCGTCGGCTGCTCGGACGGAGCCGCGTCCGACGAGGCCCCTCCTCCGGCCGCCCCCGCCGCTGCCGCTCCGGTCACCTCGCCGGCCTCACGCTGCTCCTGCTCCCCGGCGCCGCCGTCATGGTCGTAGAAACTCCCCATGGCAGCCTGAGGAGCACCAATACCTTGAGTCATAACATGGCCAGGTTTTTCAGATTGCACAAGTTCAAAACTTCAAAAAAGATTGAATCAAATTAAGAGGATATTCACTTACTTTGCACACTGGCATATCATCTGATTGGCAACTTATTTGGTACCTTTCTCATTTTCTTTCACATCTCCTCATCCTTTTTGGGGAAATTTCCTCCCAATTAGTACCTAAGTCTTAAATAAAACAGCAGGTACCATGCTGGCCATTCATTTCCATATTACACTTAAAAAGAGTAGGTATGTGAAACTACAGTATAAATAGTGTAGCACATGTAAAAATTAAATGTCAATAATTCAATAGTTTTGACAAAATCATCTTTTGAAACCTTTGTCAATTTTGGCTTCAGTAAAGCTGCTGCTTACAGTCCTACAGCTATTATCATCTGATCAACTACCTACAAATCCTGTTCACACTTTTAATTGTAGAAACAGTTCTTCTTCATCTTGCTAATAAAGGGATATCCTACTTAATATAAGGCAACCAATTTGGCCCCATCCTTGATCTGATAAGATAGGTACAATACAGGGACATCCTATGCATACCAAATTAATTTCAGCCAACTATACCCATTAGCCATTAGTTGGATGGCAAAGTTCAGCTAGAAAAGAAGACTGCACCATACATTTTCCCAAGATTAGATGGCCAAGCTTCCACAAAGTATGACCTTCGATAGTGTGTGCAATTTAAATGCCTCTGAAACCAAGACAGACACTAAGTGTAAGTGAAGACCCTGATACAGTAAGTCACCAAAGAAACCCAGGGTTTGTTGCACTTTTTAGAAATTTAGTAATCATTGCATAAGCAGGCAAGCAAGTTACTATGTCAATATGGGTACCTACCTGCCAAGGCTTAAGAAAACACAACAAAATGATAAAAAAGGGAATAGGCAGGTAACAAGTAATTGCTCCCTTCTAGAATGGTACTAACTACCAGCATGGTCATCCATTTCTGCCCACTCACAGGTGCCCTAGCTCATCCAATTCCATACCTGCTTAACTTTTGAAGCTGTAACACATGACACAGGTCATTATTTCCCCAAGGTTGCTGCAGATTTGTAGTGCTCAGGCACCATGACTCCACAAATTGACACCCATAGGTATGGTACCAGTGTTCAAAAACAGAAGAAAGAGACATGCCCTTCATTGAAACATCATCAACATGGATATGATACTTGGATTTTGATTCATGTTGTTTCTGATGACACAGCAAATTTGGGCCCTGCTTCGGCATTAGTAGAGCAGACGTCACAGGAAGGTTTTCCAACCAAGGAGAGGCGCTGTAGGTTTGTAGGTTGTAGGGTAGGTTTGTAGGTTTGTAGGTTTGTAGGTTGTAGGTTGTAGGTTTTTAGGTTGTAGGTTTGTAGGTTGTAGGTTAGGTTAGGTCAGGTTAGGTTAGGTTTGTTTAGGTTTTGTTAGAAAGAAGTACCTCCAGGCATAGCGCCTCTCCTTGGTTGGAAAACCTTCGTGTGACGTCTGCTCTACTAATACCCCTGTTTCACCGTCCAACGCTGCGTGCGCTGCAGCGCGCTGGGAGCTACAGCATACCATAACCAAACAATAACATCACTTATGACATTGCATGTGATCCATTAGCTGATGATGAATCACATGTGGAACAGAGGTCCTAAAGAACCAAGTACAAAGAGAACAGAGGTTTGAGTGTGAATACTCCTAGCGTGCTGCTGCCGCCACGGCACGCTAGCGAACTGAGTGAAATTTATTGATATTGCCATGGAAACCCCATGCGCTGATGTGCAGCGTACTGAAGCGATCTGCCATGAAACACCACACTGATGAGACAAGAAAACTTACATCTAGGTTCCAGCCAGCGGATTCCAGGTAAAAAGTCGCTCTGTCTGTGTCGACACCAGTAATTGCCATAAACTGAGCAACTAGTCCCTCCTTATCAGCCATTTTTGCAGAATGAACGTGCAATTTCAACCCTTCTCAAAAGTGACCTATATTCTTAACATAAGACAACGACCTAAACAAAATCGATTCCAAGGTCGGTCGTCGCAAGGCCGTATAAGAGGTCGTCGTGACCAGGGGGGTACGCTCCGGCTGTTTAGCATTACGAAAAATGGTGACAGACGTTTGTGGAGGATTGTCGACGAACTCTTGTTCCGCGAGCAGTACTTACACGCTAGCGGAAAATTCACCAATCAGCGCTCGGCAGTACTCGACGCTGATTGGTCCGACGCTCGTGACGAAATTGCGGGGGACCGCAGTTATTCTCTATGGACCCGAATAGGCTTTTGGATTTCGGAGGAGTTTCTTTAAAATTATATGCTGTTTGGAGCTGTTTTCGAGTTGAAATATATTTCTTATGACTGTTAGCTATATAATGACACCATAAAATCATGATTTTAATAAATATTACCGATGTAATATCGGCCGAAAAGACATGCTGTCATGGCACGGACTGCCCTGCGGCTGATGTGGGGCCCCTAGTGCCAGCGTATGGTAATAATGGGTTGACGAAGGGTTATTGGAGAAACTTAGAGCCCCTTTAGCATTCAGTATAGGGTCATCAGAGGCCGGGAATGTCCATCAGGGGTCTGAGTAGGCCTGTCATACTGAGGATCACGATGATGCCCTTAGTTTGTTCCTATCTTGACTAATTCGAAAGTTATTCGAGAAAAACTCTCCATATCTAGCGCCGCCATTTTGATTTTTTCGACCCCTGTGACGTCATCTTTGACCTGACCTGAAAATGACCTTTGTAAAAATTGTAGATCTTGTCCATGCGTATCCGATGCCGTTTACCGCTTGTCGCTATCTTGCTTCGTTCTCAAGATCTCAGGGGGGGGGGGGCCGAATCGGCCCCCCCCGCCAGTTTCTTGTCCCGGCGGAGCCCGCCAGGAATAGGGTTAAGCCTATTCCGGGCGGGGGTATATACTTGGCGACTTTCCCTAAATATTCATTACGCAAATTTCAGCAAAAAATGCCGTTTCAGGTCAGGTCAGGTCACCAGAACGGTTTTTTTTACCCCACCTCAGAAACGTTTGCAATCGCGTCAGAGCTAGAGTTGTTCATGCACTGAAAACAAATCGACACAGTGAGGGCATGTTCTGTACTGGTAACACATCAGTCATGTGTTAATCGCACCCAAAACACAATAAGGCTGAGTATTTTCACGCTTGGCGGGACCTTCGACACGTTTGATAACACATAAAACAGAATAGTGACACAATTTTATCGTGCCAAGCACGCTGGACGAATGTAATGCATCAGCGTATCGAAATCATGTGTTGTCGGATATGGTAGACGTCAAGGCTATTCCGTAGACGTGTACCCTTGCACAAATACACCGTGCCATCCACCAGTGAGCGACCTCTGAACCTTAACTTCAAATGGGGATAAGAGAGGGCGTTTTTCGAGCACCGACTTTTACGCTGGGTTTTTGTAAAAATTTGCCAAAGTGTTTTGAGAAAGGTCAAAATGCACAATACTGCCGAGGGAGTCGATACATGATAAATTGTCTAGAGCAATATGCGCTGATATCATCAAGTGCAAGCTGAAGCATAGCTAATTAACGTCTGCTTGGAGGAAGAAACTCCTCCGTCTATATATGATATATTTGAAAAATCGGTGGCTGAAAGTTTATTCCGGCTGCTTATTAGTGCGCTGATTGGGCCGTCCACGTGACGCGTTCACCCTCGGCTCTGAAGTTGTCGACCGGGCGCGACTCCAGCTCGCGTATGGGTCGGCCGCCCGCGTGCTCAGCCCTGACCGCGCCCTGACCGTATGGGTCGGCCGGCCGGGTACTCAGCCCTGACCACACCCGAGCGCCCGATTCCACTCGGGGCCCGGCTTTGGCAGTCAGCCTGTCCAGCCAAAGCCATAGTCCCTTCAACTGCGCCCCGGCAACAAACTACATAATCACTACGTGTTTCCTGCTTTCACTTGCGATTTGTGCTAAATTTAGTAACATATTTACCTTGTATTCTGCAAATGTATTCACACAAGCCTTATGTGTTGAAGACACAATGATACTGTGTTTTAGGACACAACACGACTGGGTTAACACATTTGTAAATTGACACGTCTGCGACGGGTCAAAAAATGCATGATGCAGGGTACACAAGAAAGCCTAGTTAACACGCTCTGCCTGTGCGTTTTTAGTCGTTTTTTGTGTCATTTTGTTTTCAGTGTGGAGCAATTTCCTCTCTTCAGGGTAGGAAGCGATGGCATTGGAAACGCAGTCGCCGCGAATCGGAGTTCACTGAACCATCGTAAGCTGACACCCGTCTCGGCAGAGACGGTGCTGGGAGTCGCAGTCCACTGCACTGGCTTGAAAACAATGGCCGTCACCTGATGACCGGTCCTCATGTTCTGGGGATGCAGTAGACGTGGGGGGGGGGGGGGGGAGGAGCAGACAGGAAGTTGATTGCGTACTGTGGGATACTGGGGATATTCGGCTTTTTTCATTCACTTGATGGCCCATGACGTAAGTACATACCATATGTTTCACTGCCTTGTACTGTCAAACCGAACTAGGTCAATTATTTTTTTTCCTCTTCAAAAAATAAAAAGGAGCCGGAGTCGCCCCCTTTTTTGGCGGCTCCGGCTCCGGCTCCGGCTCCGGTCTATATTGTTTCACGGCTCCGGCTCCGGCTCCGGCTCCGGGCAAAATATGCCGGCTCCGGCGGCTCCGGCTCCGACTCCGGCTCCGGCTCCGCATCCCTGATTTTGATGTCTGAACGCTCTTTGATTTTGACTAGTGCATCATCTTGCGTCTTTACTCCATAACATCTATAATTTTGGAAGATAGAGTTACCGTTCCGAAACGGACCAAACGAGACAATTAACCCCAAAATCAGTCAACGCGTCACCGAAACCTTCCATGATTAATCGATATACGGCGCAATGGCCGCCATGATTCCTTCTGGGAAGTTGATTGCAAAAAGCGCCTCTTACAGCAACAATTAACGTAATAGAAAGGAACATTCCTTATCCAAAATTGTTCGGTTTCAGATGCTCAATATATGTCCTGCCCATATTAAGCAAAGTGAGCGACACGCCAAAACGGGTGTCATTCTTAGAAATTCGCATTCGAACTGCGTGTGTTGTCTATAATTTTGGAAATCGTAATGCATAATTTGTTCTAGGTTTTATCAGTGATTCTTTAGTTGTTTAACGGCAGCATCAGAGCTGAGGCGAAGGAACTCAGCGCGGTACCATCAGTGTATCGTCTGCCAGTTAAAATTTGGCTATCAGCAGTTTTGGCGATTTTTAGTTTAAGTCGGGTACGGTTGCAATGGTTCTCATGTTATGAGTCTTCATTTAATTTCGTCGGAGAGGCACTCTGCCTGAGCACAGTCGCCAGTAACCTCGGTGTTGTGTCTCCAACTTGAAGGGGTTCAAGAGCCTCATCACCAGCACCACAGGTGCCGCCGTCCCCAGTCGGTCGGCAGGATGGGCCGGCGCGCCGCGCCTCGTGCTACGTCGCTGCGCGGGCGCCGTTCACATCACTAGGGTGACTTTAGCCGAGTGAAGTGCGTGCCGCGCGGCGCCGCACTGTGCGAAATCACCGCCGAACCCTTCGGCCACCGGTACCTGGTCCGACTGGACCGGCCCCTGGGCCGATTGGACCGGATACCTGGGTCGGTCGGACCGTCACATGGGCCGACTAGACTGCGCACCTGAGCAAGGGGCTGAGGGTGCCATCACCGGCCTGGTTGGAGTTCGGCCAGGTTACTGACCCTCCTGACCAGAGCGTCAAAACAAGTCGACCCTCCACCGTTTGGCCGGCCGCGCCGGTCGGTAGAGGGGAGATTTGAAGACTGGACGGGGCAACAGCCGGCTCGACCCAGATTGCGAGGAACGTTTATTTAGGGGCGCTCTGCCACACGAGCATATATATCATATAAGCGCATGGAGTAGATGACATGAGTAATTAAACCGCGAGATAAAGCTTCCGGCGATCAAATCAAATCAGTCAAATCAATCAAATCAATCAATCAAATCGATCAAAAGCTTCTTCAAGTTATTCACCTTGTCAAAGGCAGGTGACGCCCCTTGAAGCTTCGGCACCGATAATTTATATTATTCCGATCTTTTCGCGCACGAACACGGGAGTGAATGAAAACTCAGCGCTGGCCGCCTGGGATCCGGGCGGGTCCCTGACTCAACCCAGTGGCAAACAGCCCTCCCCTCCGCCGTTCGGCTGATCACCCGCCGGAGGGGTGGCCTCTAAGGTGCTGGGAGTGAGGGAGGCACCTCGCCCCTGATCTGTGAGGCAGCGTGGCAGTGCTGCCATTGGCTATTCTCCCCGAGGGGAGGATGGCGCAATGGGACGCTGACTGCCGAGGAGTGAACAATATTGAGTGGTATGTTGAGTGCGAATCAATGGTAGTGGAAGTAGGGTGATGTGTTAGGTATGAATTCGATGTGTATCAATAGGTGTAGGCATGTGAATGTAGAATTAGAATGCGCCGCGCGCCGCGAGAGACAAAGAGGAACGTGCGATCAGGAATCGCGCGCTAGAGAGACGCGCGACGAGGGATCGCGCGCGAGAGAAAGAGAAAGAGAAAGAGAGGGTCGCACGAGAGAGTCGTGCGAGAGAGTCGCGCGAGACAGAGTCGCGCGAGAAAGAGAGAGAGAGAGAGAGTCGCACGAGAGAGTCGTGCGAGATAGAGAGTCGCGCGAGATAGAGTCGTGCGATGAACGCGAGAGAGAGGCGCGCGAAATGAATCGCGCGTGAGAGTGAAAGAAGGTTGCGCGAGAAGATAGGAGTCGCGCGACGAGGAGACGTGCGAAAGGCATCGCGCGGAAGGCGTCGCGTGAGCTAGGCAGAATGAGCGCGAGAGGAGGTAGGTACTCGCGCGGTAAGAGAATCGCGCAATGGAATTGCGCGGTCGACGAGCGGGGTCCGACGATGTGTCGTCGGAAAAAAGAGAGGAGGAGAGAGGGGCGCGCCGGCGCATCGCGCCGGCGTTTCGGCCGCGACGTCCGAGGAGCGGGCGGCCGCCGCGCCGTGGGTCGTGGGGAGGGACGGGGTTGGGGAGGACAGGGCAGGGGTTTGATTGTGTTTGTCCGGGCACTGGGGAGGGATGGGTCTCGGGCTGGGGAGGGAATGTGTTTGTGCGGGCATGGGGCCGGGTAATGACTGGGGGAGGACACTTAAATGACTAGGGAGAACCGACGAGCGGCGGACGCGTGGGAAGGAGGACGTGAGGGGAGCGAATGGACTGACGAGACCATGACTGGGGTGAATGAGCATATGGGGATGAGGAGACATGATTGAGGTGAAGGAGCAATGGATTGTGAGTGAGTGAATGAATGGGGGGACATGGCCGAGGGAACGACAGAAGCGGATTGCCTGAGTGGAATAGAATAGAGAGATGTGTTGGGAAAACAAATGCAACAAAAGGGAAGGGACAAGGAGACATTGGCCTCGAATTCCTGAGCTAGCAAGGGCGTGTCAGGAGCGGACTTTCCAACCGCCCAACCTAGACATTCAACGCATTTGCCCCGTACCCTCAGGCATTCTCGGTCAATGTCTTTGACGCATGGACGGACATCTGCATGAGAGTGGAGAGGCAAGGTGGAGGAGCCAGGAAATGGAGGAGCAGAATGAGTGAATGAGTGAGATGGAGAGAGAGAGAGAGAGAGAGAGAGAGAGAGAGAGAGAGAGAGAGAGAGAGAGAGAGAGAGAGAGAGAGAGAGAGAGAGAGAGAGAGAGAGAGAGAGAGAGAGAGAGACCACCAATTAACATACCTAAGTGGTGGATAGTCGGGCATTGGGCCCGATTTGGGTTATGCCTGTTCTTTCGACTATGGGTAGATCAGTTCCTACAAGGTGGCGGACTGGTTCGAGGTTTCGCTATCACTAATAAAAAACCCACATTCCATTCAAAATTTATCGGACGGTGATTAAGTTATGAAAGTTTCCCACAGTATCGTGATGTTACGAGTATAAAAAGGTTAAATAATCATGTTTCATGAGCACCTGGGAGTTAAATTTGTCGATTATCGTAACCATGTGTGCTGCTGAGTGCCGCGATGTATGTGTGTGTATGCCGCGATGTATGTGTATTGTGTATGTATGTGTATCGTAAGGGCGGAATGATGAGGGGAGGGGAGGACCCTGCCCAGTGCCCGCCCACAGCCACGTCGCCCAATTTGCCAGCGCCCAGCCGCCAGCCTGGAGCCACCGGCGAACAGCTGACCTCGGCGGTACGACCGGGCGGTGGTGCTCCGCTGTCCAGCTCGCCGCGCGGGCCATCAGCCACTCCGCCGCACTCGGTCGCCGCCCCGCGATTCCAGCCGTCTGCCCAGCTGCCCGGACCCCGCGGCGTTCAAGAGCTGCGGCAGTACGGGCGGCTGCGCTCGGTCGCCGCCCCGCCATTCCAGCCGTCTGCCCAGCTGCCCGGACCCCGCGGCGTTCAAGAGCTGCGGCAGTACGGGCGGCTGCGCTCGGTCGCCGCCCCGCCATTCCAGCCGTCTGCCCAGCTGCCCGGACCCCGCGGCGTTCAAGAGCTGCGGCAGTACGGGCGGCTGCGCTCGGTCGCCGCCCCGCCATTCCAGCCGTCTGCCCAGCTGCCCGGACCCCGCGGCGTTCAAGAGCTGCGGCAGTACGGGCGGCTGCGCTCGGTCGCCGCCCCGCCATTCCAGCCGTCTGCCCAGCTGCCCGGACCCCGCGGCGTTCAAAAGCCGCGGCAGTACGAGCGGCTACGCTCGGTCGCCGCCCCGCCGCGCCATCTGCGCTCAGTCCCATCCAGCCCGCGGCAGTGCGTTAGACGGTGGTGCTCGGTCCGTCCCTCTTGATGCGCCAGCTAGCAGCCTCCAGCCGCCCAATGCACTGGTAGCCGCGGCGCCATTGGCCGCGGCGGTACGGTGCGCGGCGGTGAACGGGGCTAGCTGACCTGACGGCGCCCGCTAGCTCTGCATTGGCTGGGCCGCTGATTCTGCGGCCCGCTCTGCAAAGACGCTGCAGGGCAGCTCCCGGTGGTCAGCGCCACCCACCAGCAGCTTACCGGCCTGGCGGCAGCGAGACAGGCGGTGAGCACGACGCACCACTCGCGTCCGCGAGCCGCCACCGCCGCCGCTGCCACCTGGTGGCGCAACCTCGGGACGCCTAGCGGGAGCCGTCCAACTCTGAGGCGGGCCGATGCAGGAGGAGACAGTCGCCACCACGTCGAACGGCACGCGAGCAGGATCCCGACGAAGAGTGGGAGACAGCAGCTACCGCTCGAAAAGCCCTGGACTGCGGCGGTTGCGCTGGCGGTGGAGTGGCAGTCGCTCAGGGAGACAGCCGCACGACCGCAGGTGACCACCGCCCGCGAAAACCGGCTTTGAGCGGTAGCAACTCCCTCGGTGGTGCATCACGTGCTTGTAGGTCAAGGCGGCCTCCATCAAGCGCCGGCTCCGGGAGGAGAGACGAGAGCGAAGCTGGACTGAGGCGAACGAGCGGGAGCAAGATAAGCGGTGGCCGTGCCTCTTGGTGGACAACGCTAAGGCGAGGCGCGGCGAGGGAGTGCGATCGGATGGCCGGGCGGGATGGTGCAGCGAGCGAGAGAAACCAGAACGGGCATGGCAGCAGAATGGCAGGCGGAGCGAACATTGAACAATGGGGTGACAAGCGGAAGTGGGGGCGGGGCGACCGTGTATGAAAGGAGGTCTGCAGAATGTATGTGTGATATTTGTAGTATGTCTGTCGCATGTGTTGTGTAGGTATGATTGTCAAGCGCGATTGAGATGGCTGAAAGGTTCTCACCCGGGGGAGTAAGGGGACCCTTTTTCACCGTCCGTGGGAGGGGGTATTATTATGTAAGGGCAAAATTTAGCGCGACGCGTACGTCGGTGAGGAGCGGCGGGCCGGAGTACCAGAGTGCGTGTGAGGCCAGTCCGCCGTACGATAGCCTCCGGCGGGAAAGGCGTGCCCGCTGGGTGAAAGGCAGCGGCTGGCCGGCACCTGGGACTCGCGGACCCGTCTCTCGGGGCATTTGCCAGTGCGGTGTCGTCGGGGCAACACCTTTCGGTAAGCGAACTTTTCCCTCCCCCCCTAAATTAATGCCGCAGCGCCCAGGCGCTGCGGAAGTCCCCGACAAATGTCCTGGATTTCATTTGGCTTTCCGACCCGCCGCAAATAGCGGTGGGCACTCCCGTTTATATCCAGGACAGTCTCACCTAAATTATATTCGTCGGCGCGGCGCGTAGCGTGAATGAGTGTGCGTTTGGAGGTGTGATATGGGTAGTGTGCGTGAGCGTAAGTGTGTGAACCATAAATGCCCCTGGTCTAACGATACGAAAATACAGCGTAATGGAATGTGAGCAAAATATTTCATTGGGGGAATGGCAGATGCCGGGCTGATCCACGGTGAACGTGAACGAACAATCATACGGGCCGCTTAGTTTAATACACCCGGGTGGCAGGCGGGCATTGTAGAGTAACTTTGATCAGCGTAATGTCTGTACATGGGGGGAACCATTAAAAGGTTGCAGGTTCCGATGCTTGAAACCCCTACACGTCTATCCCATGTACTTACGGTCTTTTTGGCCGATGTGACACCGGTAGTATATAGAATGTCATGATTAAATGTCGTTATTACACAGTCAAAAGTCACAGAAAGAATATCCAAGCTCAAAAATGGCCTCAAACCCAACAAAAACTGGTATAAATCCCCTTCAAAAGCCGTAAGTCTATTAAACGCCATAGGGGAATAGCTACAGTCCCCCGCAATTTCGTCACGAGCATCGGGCCAATCAGCGTCGAGTATTGCCGAACGCCGATTGGTCGATTTCCGCTAGCCTGTAAATGCTGCTTGCGGATATAGTTTTGAACAAGTGAGGGTCGCGGCTACTAATTATCGCTTGTCACCACTTTTTCGTCGGGAACGTTCTACCTGGTTTATATAGCCTTGGTCGTGACTAGCCGAAAGCACAAACGCAGCGCAAAAGCACTTCTGAAATGATTGTGTTCATTTCGTGTCCCACCATCCTGTATGAACTGTTCACGTTGTGTTTTCCATTTGCTTCAAGATAATTTTTTGGAGAGAATCTGGGTTAAGCACGTTTTCTTTAATACATTTTAAATCAAATGTCACAATAAGAATTTATGTGTGTATTTTACATTGAAACGCAAATCGAACAAAATAAGGTTCGAGTTCGACTCAGTTCGACCAGAGAGGTTCGACCAATGTGCTTCATGTGTGCTTCTATACCAATCTGTCAGCAGGAATTTTGAACATATTTCAAGCATTTCACTCGCGCAGCATTTGAAGTAAGTTCGCCGTGATAGCAGCCAAAAAGTATATAAGTAAACCGAAATACTTTAAATATCACCAATACAAGTATCACCAATTAGCATCAACAATGCCCAATTTTATTTTATATCCGCGATCCAAATTCCAAAAGGTAAATACCTACCTACTATGAATAGGTAAAGGAAGGGCGAGAAAAGAATGCAGTCCCAGCTCTCAGTTACTCAAGGCCTTTGAAAGCCTTGTGCCAGTTGCCAGTGCCACCCAAGATTCTTACAGATAGTGCCACCCACCTTCCTCATTGCTCATTTGGTACGGCAATGATGCGAAGTTTGGATTATCCCGCGCCCCGCTGAGCTCCTCAATTTTCACGCTGGTGAGGATGGGGGAGGGGTGTTTGAACTCGACTTCTGGGCCACGTAGGCTATGTGGCCCAACTCCAAGCCCCAAGACGCTACGTGACGTAGCGACACTCGGAAACGGGCAGACCTTGAAAGAGTGCAAATAAATAACTGATAGATTATTTAACTGTCAATTTCGGTCGTTACTCAGTTCCTGGTCCAGAGGTACCTAAGTTTCACCAACAGAAAAATCGCCAGCTTTAGTTATTTTTGCCTATAGTCGCTCTCCCCCGACTTTCGCCAGGCATGTGAAAAAATAAAATAAATCTAGCTCGAATGATTGAATGAATGGATTGACATGCAGAGCCAGAGCCCACGCCAAGCTGAGCTTGTAATGCATCACACAGGCCCCGTGACCCCTACCGTCCGATAGCACAATGCTGGGTAACGGGATAATTTCAGTCGCTGCAGTTGAGCTGCCCATTTGTCGTCTAAGACACGTCTGTAACTAAGTTATAAAAAACATGTGTATCGTCTTGTCTACCATCGGTGCAGTGCGTACAGGGGCGGATCCAGGAAAACTCCAAGGGGAGGGTCATGAATCGAAGTGGTGCCCCTACCTATACCCAAAATTAAAAACTCAACGGATTTCGTCCACTTCATTTTGGTGGTGCCCCCATTTTCAGTTTTTTTATTTTTATTTTTTATTTTTAGTCAGTATCTTAACTCTTAGCCACAACCACATTTACCAATTGTAAGCAAGTATATATGAATGTGCTATGTGCATAGATGCTATGTGTATATATGTTGTGGACGCTGAGTAGTGAGTACTTACCAGGAACGTTATCAGGTAAGCAAATCGTTGTCAGTCCGACGAACTTGACCCTGGCGTCTAAAGGGTCTGTCCTTGACGCTTCAGGCTTGTCAGGGGCACCAAAGTCCTTCCAGGGACACCACAAACCTTTCAGGGGCACCTACGGCCTTGTAGGGGCGCCACAGGCCCGCCAGGGGCACCACAGGCCTGCCAGGAAGTAGGGGCACCACAGGTCTAGCAAGTATACACGACAGGCCTGTCAGGGGCACAACGGACCTGTTGGGCCCATGAGCACCCCTAGGGGCAGGGGCACCACAGTCCTTCCAGGGGCACCGCAGGCCTGTGAGGGGCACCAGCGGCCTAGCAGGGGCACCAGTCAACACAGGCCTGCCAGGGGCACCACAGACCTGCAAGGGGCACCAGAGGTCTGCCAGGAGCACCACCGACCCCGCAGGGGTAACTTGGGCCTGTCAGGGGCCAGGGACACCACGGGCCTGTCGAGAGGCACTTCAGGCTTTTCAGGGGCACCATAGTCCTCTCCGGGCGCAGGGGTAGCAGGGGCACCAGAGGCCTGCCAGGGGCACTACAGGCCTAGCAAGGGCACCACTGGTCTATCAGGGGCACCACGAGCCTGTCATAGCCAGGCATCTCAGGCTTGTCAAGGCCCAGGGGCACCACAGGCAGGGGCGGATCCAGAAAATCTCCAAGGGAGGGGCCATTAGAAACCAGGAGGCCCCCCCATAATCCCACCTGTTGGAGGCCCCATCTTCCCACTTGTTGGGCCCCCCCCCAAAAAAAAAACTGCGTCTATTGAGCTTATCTAGCTGTTCAGGCAACATCTCAACATCTGTGCAGGCTTGGAGGCCCTCTGTGCAGGTTAGGAGGCCCTGTAAAAGTGGTCATCTCTGTGAGTATAAGAGACCTCCAAGTTATGAAAAGCTTTACCAATCTTCTAACAAAGAAGTCTTCTCAGCTAGTCTTCTAAGAAATAACTAAGTGGGTAGGTTAAAAAAAAAAAAAACTCATCGGATTTCGGCCACTTTATTTTCAGGAGGCCCCCTTTTCAGCTTTTTAACTTTTTAACTTTTTATTTTATTTTTGAAAAAATCGGCCAAGGGGGGGGGGGGCCATGGCCCCCATGGCCCCCCCCCTTGTATCCGCGCCTGCACACAGTACACAGTTACATGCATACATACATACACAACATAGTGTACCCGATTGTTGCTGCCCGGGGCCCGGACACCTGGTGACTTGTCGGCGGAGGGCTGCTCGGCGGGCTGCTGACGGGGCCGTCGTGACCTGTTCCCAGTTGGTCTTATTTTGCGCCTAATCTCCGTGTTAACCCACGCCCCACTGGGGTCTGCGTATAACACTGGGGGGGGGGGGCTATTCATAGCCCCCCTCCTAACTCCGAAACTACTGGGCCGATCGTCAAAATTCAAACGGCGTCTGATAGCCCCGGAAAAAACTGTCGAGCGAAATCTAATTTCATTGACCTCGAGATCACCGATGACGTCACAGGTCAGGTCAAAGTAAAAATTATTAGCATTTTGACTTGTTCACGTTTTGGGCTCTGGCCGCCGTCTTACAAGTCAGATCAGGCTCATTTTTGGTTCACACACTCGTGAACAGATGCTCTAGATACCCTGAGGGTACCAAACTTGTACTTTGATTTTCAGGTCAAGGTCAGGTCATCACAGGTCACGAAAATATTATATCATGCGTCGGTCACGTGACACATGTTTTATGGTCCATTTAGGCCAAAGATTTCGAAATTGATGTCGTCTGTGTCATTCGAGGTCATTTTGAGTCGAATTTAGCTTAGGTCAGGTCACTTTCAGGTCAAAAAAGGTCAAATTTTGAAGTTATAATTTTTCAACAGAAAAGGTGTCTATTGGATGCAGCGTGAGCTCAGGAACACGATGGTGCTATTTATATTGGCGTACGATGTCAAATACGTGGTAAAAAAAAAAATGATTTGAAAAATTAATAATTGTGAATTTTTTGCAATAATGCGTATAACTTGGCCATTTTTGAAGATATTTAGCTAAAACTTGCTAGAGTTAGTCATAATAACGCGTTCTATCACATATATTCCGGTTTTTGGAAAGGTCAAAAACTTTTTGAATAAAAATGTAAACATGTAAATTTTGAATTTTATTATATGAAATTTTCGAAATTTTCAAAATTTCGAAAATCCGAGATATCAGTTTGATAGCGCAGTCTATTCTGAGTCCTCTCATGCAAAGAAATTGGATCTAGCTTAAAAACTGAGCCCTTGGGAGCGATTGCCGTGGTTCAATGTTTTGCGTCGAAATCGGCCGAACATGACGTCACTCTGACGTCATTTCCGGCCGACCTATGGTAGCTACGAAGTTCAAATTTTGGTACAAGGTGTCAAATTGATGCAGCCGAAGGTACTAAAAGTTTGGCGTCGATACGTCAAGTGGTTTGGAAGTTATTGCAGAAAAACGGGAGGGGGGCTATGAATAGCCCCCCCTCCCAGTGGGGCGCGGGTTAATATTTTTGTGCGTTTATTGCTGTTTATATTTTGTAGGAAATGCGCTTTAATTGAAGCATTTTACTTTTGCGCCGATCCGCAATTATTTTCTCTGATGTTTCTTGTCCTTGGTTACCAAAATATACTGAACTGAACTGAACTGAACTGACACGCGGAAAGCGGCATTCGAAAGGGCGTCCAAATTAAGAAAACACTCACGTCATTTTTCATGTCAGGTCAAAGATCAGGTCACCAGAGGTCATCAAAAGCAAAATGCTGCCTATTTCAACATTTTTCGAAGCACCGGCGCATATACCCGGGAACCAATTACCTAAGTTACGGCGCCTCCGAATAGTGCATTCCATAACCCATAGCCCTTCCGACATTTTTTTCCGAACTTTGTCCTCAGATTTGGCCTCAGGTCAACGGTTTAGCCTCCAGAGGGCAAACACCGAGAAAATAGCCGTTTTACGGAAATTGTTTTTCTTTCTTTGATAGGGTAAGGTGCCTAATTAGCGACCCTTTCCGATTTGCGACCTACCTCCCTATATAAAAACTGGCAGAAGAATATACATTCTTGGACGATACCGCGAAAACGAAATATTTCTATCGAGAGTTTTTAAAGGATTTCATGCACGAGGCCTTGGCCGAGTGCATGAAATTCTTTGAAAACTCGAGATAGAAATATTTCGTCGCGGTAGAGTCCTAGATATTATTTCCTGTATGTTTCTTAATATCGTTCGTTATCTGCTTAAAAAAGGCCGAAATATGCATAAATAAAATACATTAACAATAACTACAAGTTAGATACTGAAATACTGGCAGTTCTAATTACTCAACAGTTCAGCAAAGCTTACAAATTTTCTTTAAAACAGAAGCCCTCGATGAAATCAAGCTATCCAAGAAAACCATCCAAGAAAACGTCTCGCGCAAAGTTTCTTGGATGGCTGGATTGCATTGCAAGACTGCATCAAACATACAGGAAAACGGGGTAAAAATATCGTCAAAAGGTCAGCCAAACTTTGGTTATCAAATTAAATTATTTTCCGGTCGTCGATGTTTCTGGTGGGACGTTTCAGGTGAGTTTAAATAAAAATGACGAGCTTCTTATCCAGAACGTGTGTGTTTACTGTTTGGGCCCTCTCTGATGAAAAGCGATGCACATTAGGATGATGCACCTTTTTTATTCTGAATCGACATTCCTTTTTCAATTGATTGCCGTTTTCCCATTGTGAATCGCTCAACTGTGCACAGCATGGCGATTAAAAATGTGTCGCAACTCATATTTCCTATTTGCGCCTGACATGGTCGCAAATAGCTCAAGAGTCAAGAAGGGAAAGAAAGCGGAAAAGAGAGAAATGAAAA